TTGAACAAGTTGTGTCGACAGATACGCAGTGAAGACGTTGAGTTGCGGGTCTGGCCTGTTAAGGGGTCACCTAGGATTTTAGACATTCCGGATGCAGTCTTTAGGAACAACAGCGACAAGCCATCCCAACGAGCGATGACCATTTTCATTGCTGATGAAAGGGTCAAGAAGCGGAGAGACGCCGGAGGCTCTTTGGTCTTCTTCGAGTCTACTAAGATTAAACGAACGACCCTTAGCACTACTGTCGCTGAACTGTACGCTCTGATAAAGTGTTTTGGTACCTGTCAAATGCTCCGAGGTTTGTGGAAGGACATCAGCGGATTGGATGCCGAGATTCACATGCGAACCGATGCTAACAATCTCGTTTCCACTGCTTCTACTACACGTTCCCCGGAACAACAGGAAACAATTCTCATGATTCAGATGTTGAGGAAGAAAGCATGCTCAGGAGCTATTGCTGATCTTTCTCATGTGCGTACCGAACATACTGTTTGTCGGACTGTTTCAGGAAACGAAGTGCTAATCCTAGAAACCTCCTGAATTGTGTTCAAGCCGGGTGGTTAAAGGAAATCGACTCACATCCTCCTTTTCGTACCATGATTGAGCACAAAGCATTTCTGAACTCGTGGCTTCGTAAGGAGTTTGCAGTTCTTGCTTCAGTGCAACATGTCATCATGCAGGAGCGGTTGTGAGGGTGAGCTGTCAGCGCAATTCAGTGCACATGTCAATCTTGCTTGAAGAGTTGTTGGTCTCTTTTCAAACTTGTGCCTGCGTTGCTCAAATCAGCTGGTTCAAACCTCTAGTGCGTAAGTTGCCCACACTTCCACTTAGGTACCAGCTTTGGCTACGGACGCTCCAGGATCCGGCGCTCCTGTCGGAGGAAGCTCTCCACCACAGAAGGTACCTCCAGGAGCCGTGCAGAAGTACTGGACGCCTAACAGGCCTAACATGGGATGCCACATTCGTGTGGATCTGACAACTGGCGTTCCCGAGTACAAGGAATACCTGGAGAGTCTGTCCTGGGTGCATCGCCGTGGGCTCCGAACTGACGGCGCTGTACTCTACAGAGATACGGTTGATCGCAAACGGCCGCGCAATGCGTCAGTGGCCACGATCAAGCTCAAGCCAGAGGGCGCTCCGCAGCACCTGGAGCAGCAGGACGTCACAGCGTACTTCGCATTTGGGGAGATGGCTGTGACGGACTTCGTAGAACGGCAGTTGGCATTTTTGCAGACGTCTGGGCCTATGAGGACAGCCATCCTGGGCTTCAGAAGCAGTTGATCTGGAAGTATAAGTTCCTTTGCTGCTGCAAGGAGGATCTACAGGAAGTTGCCAGGGACATTGACCACAGAACAGCTGGGCAATCAGGTCGTCCAAGGGCCTTGTCTGGCTTGTTGCGACACAACCAGCGACTCCGGCTGGGATCGTATATGGAGGCCTCCTTGGAGCAGATCCAGGATTCGGATGTGCGACCCTTTGAATGGGCAGGCCAAGTCTAAAGGTCGTTTTCAGACTTGGCTTCGACAGATTCATTGCCTGGGATTTCAACATTGGAATCAGCGCAATTCAGGGGCACTCCCGTCTTCCTGAACAGGTGTCCGAAGCAGCTCGTGGGGAGAAGCTGGCGCTGGAGCGCTGCCAGCAGCTCGGGTGCATCTTTCAGGCCACAGAGAACGAGAACTACGAGTCCATCCGCGAGAATGGACTCTCTCTGCAGGAAACCCGACAAGGCTAGCAGAAGCACCGCCTGGCGATTCACGTCGTGTACGCCGGTGGCTCAGAGTCTCCTGGCCCTGGGACGGTGATCAGGTACGGCAACAACATCTTCTATGCGATGTTGGATGTCAGCTCATTCTTCAACTATGGACATGAGCTCTACCTGACGGATAATGGAGTCGTCCTGTCGTACAACGACGTCGCGGTGATGTACCTGACCTTCCATTACCGTCCACCTCACGCCTCAAGCATGAGAAGAAGCAATGTGAAGCAGGGGTAAGCTTTTCAGAGGAGGCAACCTCAGCAGCAGCCGCTTCTTCCTCAGCTGCAGGAAGCTCTCCCTGGGGCGACTGGCAGCAGAGAGGTTCGCCAGAAGGCCATGCCTTAGAAGAAGGCAACGGTGGCTTCGGCTGCCGACTCGTCTTCCCCTGCAGCAGGCTCTCCATCTGGAGAGGTACATGTTGTTGGCGAGGAAGCGCTTCGACGCCTCATTCGTGAGGATGAAATCAAGGAGACGGCCTTGAGGTCTAATGGCACAGAGGGCACCACTCGGTATGCCTACGAGGCAGGGGACACGAGTGGACGCTCACCGGCTCCAACAGGAGGAAGAGCTCAAGGAGATTCTTCAGAAAGCCCGCTACAATCCGTGGCACCTCTTTCGGCACGGATTGCTGCACCGCGTGGATTCGGCAGGAGACAAGCTGTTCACCCCTTATGGGGATGCACTTGTCAAGACGACACCGTTAGCGAACAGATGTCAGCGAACTATGGCGCAATTGGATTCGCACTTTTGTGCCTCTAGCTCAAGGGCCCTGTTAAGTCAAACAGCAACAGTTGGTCGTAAACATGGTTCCTATACATGACCGTCACTGCTACTGCACACTGAAAAAGGCACGCACTCAAGCTGCGCATGTAAGAAAACAGGGGAAATTCTCACCCGTCTTACTTATTGATGCGTGCCGGGGGCTCATATCTCACTCCGTGTCTCGGGAGCGAAATGTTGTGGCTTGCTGTACAAGGCGTTCTACCAGACTGCAATTCCTGGTAACTACTAGATCACTATTTCATGTCACGCACTGTACATCAGTGGAATTTCGCATCACATGCGGTTCAGGTCACTCGCGTGTCACTGCAACTCGGCGGCTTCGACTTTTGACAAATTCTTCGATGGGTCTGATAGTTGCAAAAGCGCCGTTTCCATCAACCGGAACAGTTGGCACGGACGCATGCTTTTTGTTAAAGCATCTGCTACCGGCGTGACCGTATCGGTCCACCTCAAACGATCCCCGTGGGGAGAGTACAATCGCGCGGTCTCGATCTCGTTCTCCCAGAGCTGCTGTCGCATCGACATCAATTCGATCATGAGGCGTCGGTCTGTGACTTTGTTGACTTGTTGACTATTCAAATGGTCGCTGAGACTGCGACAGTCCGTAATCCAAGATGCAACATTTTCTTCTGAGAGGTTTCATGCCACCCCTTCAAGGAAGGTAGTTGCCCACGCAGTTCACACACGATGGCCCTCAGCCTGTCGCCACTTGCGACGGCTGTCTGCATGGCGTACGTCTCTGACGCCAAGGTGCTTCTGCAGACACGTTTGATTGTTGTAGATCCGTAACTCAACACTCAACACATGCGCAATGAGCTTGTTTTCGCTCGCCGTGCTCTCTGTGGTGCCTTGCTGGCTTCTGAGATTCTGAAACCGGATTCCTGGGCGAATGATGCGTCTGAAATGTTACAACGCATATGTCCGCCGGGTAGTACAACGATCGATCCTGGTCCGCCTGGGCGAGCTCGACCACGCGGTTAGCTTCCTTCAAGTCGGCGATCGTCGCTTTGGAGCATGATCTTTGAAGACTGTTCACTCTGTAACACAAATCGGGCCTTGCGAACCTAACTATCCATGCTAGCGAACCCACAACACTCTTAAGGCTCGTTACCTCAGCCTCGGTTGCATGATCCGTGGCCTTGCGTCCTGCTGGGATGTTGATCTTCCGAATCTGCCGCGTGTTGTCCTCCGCGTCCATGCGCACGCTGAAGTCCTCGGCCTGTCGGAACCTCCGACCACAGAAACGAAAGTCTGTGTCCTCAATCTTCCCAACATCGAACTTTGCCAAAATTCGCTCCATAGTTTCCGTACCTTCTGGTGTTGCACACCATCACAGATCGTCAATGTGAGTTGCGAGGATGATAGCCGGCAATCCGTCCGACCCAAATAAGAAATACAAACCTGGGGCAATCCGACTCATCGTTAAACCCTCGCCCTTGGCCTCTGAATTCAATCTGTTATAGAAACCACGTCCCGCATCGATGGTCCCGTAGATTGGGAGTCTGCAGAGATGCATAGCCTCTTCCGAAACACCTGGGAGTCCTCCCGATGGCTGCCGCATGATCAACACCCTTTCAAGCGGAGACGCCTGAAAATAAGCGCTGGTGATGTCACCACAACGCAGCTTCAACCGTCTTGATGCTGCATGGCTCGCGATGAGACAATGAACTTCAGCATCGGCAGTGGGACTATCGCAACGAAGCTCTTTCCTATCAACATGTTCTAGATGTCCGCACGCCACAAGTCGGCTGCGATACTTGGGTCTGTAGTCCTCACTCTCCTTCTGGTGCTCGTTCTTGTCGACGTCGATCCACTGGCTCGGGATCGGCTTGTGCCCTTCGTCGAGCAGTTGTTGCAACATCTCGCCTTGGATTGGTATTGCTGCGTTGTACCTCTGGTACTTCTCCCATTCTTCCTTACGGGCTCCCTTGATGCCTTCCTTGACGTGATCTTCGCACTTGAAGTAGTTCATCTTGCGGGGTTTCTTTCCCGCTTGCTGATCACTTTCTGGACTAAACCTCTCTGCTACGAAAGCTCGGACCTCGGGTGTATCCGGGGCCAATCCAAGGGCTCTCACTCCGAACGCGGAAAAGACTGAACCCTGTCCGTGTGAGGTTTGTGAGTCCAGATGCCTCGGGAACTAATCCCCGCTCATCACGAACCACATCGCTCGAACCGTCCTCAAAGTAGCGATGTGTTTCTCTAGTGTATCCGATCTTGTCGAGATCACCGGGGAAATCATCCGAGTTAGGCTCGTACATGTAACGACGGGGTGCGACGTGCACTCTGAAAATGCATGTTCTGTCCGACCTTCCAATGATCCTTGCTCGTGCACTGGCTCCATCACCACGTTGATCTCTCTCTTCGGTTCCTGCGAAGCTTCTTCACCTGAACTGGATTCCTGCTCAGCAACACTTGCGATGTTCGGCGCAATCGATGCGTTGGGATCCAAGTTGAAACCTAGATCCCTGAGCTGATCCCTTTCGCAATCCCCGAACTTCAAAACACCTCTACTCACAAATGCACGTATAGACCAACGTTCACCTTCGAATGGAAGAGTCGCATGCACCTGATCTGGGGCAAAGACAGCGACATTGTTGCGGCTATCCAAGATACGACCTTTCTGTTCCCCGAACATCACATCGCCGTCTTCGTCCTTGACCCACAGATGTCCTCCTTCATGAGGACCCAACGTCGTCAGCTGGTTCTTGCTCTTCTTCAAGTTGTGACAATCTCTATGTGGAGGCGTTTCGAGGTCTCTGCTTATCTGAATTGACGACCATCCTTCACTTGCCCCTCTTGCTCTCAAGTAACTGTTCAGGTACATCACCAACATTTTGTGTCTGCTTGTAGCTTCGGTTATACCTGAAAAATTGCCACGGGCATACGCTCCGAAGCTGTAGGCTTTACCGTTCCTGACAATCTCGCGCTTCCCTCTGCTAGTAAGCGGTGTCATCCTGAGCAGTTTGAGGCATGTTGATGGACGGAAATCGCTTCTCTCAAATGCTTCTTGTGCTGCTTCTTCTGCATCATCAATGCTTGCTTCATTACAAACCCTCCCATCTGAATCGTCAACAACCTGATCATTCAAGGCAGTGTTTGCTTGGGGTGATTGTCCAGGCTGCGTCGGCTCATCGTCTGATGAGCTGTCTGAACTCGAGCTCGAACTACTGCTGGAGATCGCGGGCGGTTCAACCTCCTCTTGTTTGCGTTTCCGCGCTGCAGAGGTGGGCTTTCTGGCTTTCGGTTGAGGTTCCTCTCTTGCGTCAACAAATTCGGGCCTGCGGTCAACGACTCAGGGAGCACAATGTGACAATACCTCCTCTTCCAAAGCTGGCCTCAGGGAATGAACCGAACACAAGACAGGAATGCCACCATTCACAACCCATATGGCTTCTGCACTCTCTTGTCCAATCACTCTCGAGGTAGTACTCCACTTGGTTCCACCTGCTTGCGCGTCTCTCCGATACACCACATAGTCTCCAGTCTTGTGCTGCTCCTTGATTGGTGCTGCAGTCTTGGTCAATGCCTTTTGTATTCTACGGCTCGTGTCAAGCTTGACCATGGCTTTCTTTGCCTCAAGGCGGCTCTTCTGTCTCAGAGCAAACGCATCTGCTCCACTGAACTTTCCTTCCGTGGCACCAATGTCATTCCACGCTTGTTCATCCGTCAATGTTCCAGGCTCTCTCGGGTTTCTACCCAACACCCACTGACTAGGTGAAAATCCCGAAACATTCATGGTCATGTTCTTGACGGATACGACTTCTTGAATGACACTCTGCAGGGCATCCGCTCCTACGGTCGGCACGCCGGCTACTGTTTTCCTTATGACCGCTTTTGCTAACCCCACCTTGCCCAACATCCAAGGGGCGTCGGTCGCGGCGTACCGCACATCTACAAATTTTCCGTCAGGTAGCCCATGAAGCATTCGCGGTTATGCGACCCTCTATCAGCCATGATGCAACGTGGTAGACCCGCCCACGCGAGCCACCGTTGGAATGCTTCTAAGCACATCTCCGCCGGGGGCGGGCCTGACTCTCTCTTGGTGACTTCCCTCAGGAGCTCTAGCTGCTGGAAACCCGTCGCGAGATCGACGATGCGGCACTTCCTGCTCTCAGAATCGCCTGAAGGGTTCTAGGAGCTGGGTGATTAAACTGCCTATGCAGCCTGCGGATGGCGACGCGCACTCGTTGGGGCAGTCTTCTCCACGCCGCCCGTCGCTGCGCCTCTCCTGTCGGGACCCCGGCAGCGGAAGGGATTCTAGCCACCCCCGCTCAAGGCTTTCTGCATCCACGTCACCCGCTTCGGGTTCAACATCCGTGTCCAAACCCGTGCTCACGACATGAGCAGCACTCATTGCATCCAGGTAGGCCTCCTCACCGATGGAAATTACCGCATCGTAGAAGCTCCTCGTCTTCGAATCACAGAAGGCTTTTGGTGTGTAACCGGAGCCC